TAAAAATGGGAGTTATATTTCCCCTTTTCCAGTGCACATAAACTTGTGCACCTACAGGTTCCTTAAATGGTCTCCAACCTGATCTTCTCGAGCAGGCAGTTCCTCATTTTCCCAGTCCCTGCCTTTGCCTTCTGCAACTTGGTAGGTGTGGTTGGAACACTTGCTGGTGAAGACTGAAGCAAAAACGTCGTTGAGTACCTTCTCCATGTCCTGGATAACCAGGTTTCCCCTTTCCTTCTGGATGTGTACCTTCCAAATGTATACCCGACTTTTGTGATCATTCTGTCTTCACATGCATTGCAAGCTAGTGATGATCCGCTGTGTAGTGGTCTCTAATGTGGTATGGAAACATGGCCCAGCAGAAGGCAGGGCTCTACTCTCTCTGACATATTGGTGAGTGAGTGTCTCCTGTGGACTATCTTCAGAGAACAAGAGATAAATGTAGAAACAGCTTGGTGCTCTGTTGGGCAGTAGAGTTGTTCAGTGTCTTATTACAGTATAGTGATCCTTAGGAAAGGCACATCCCTGGCAAAGCTAAAATCTTTTTATTATCTAGGTAAAATTAATTTAGAGAATGATTAACAACTCTTTGGCCTTTAAAAGTGTTTAATGCTGTGCTCTGTTGTGGCCTTTTATCATAGCTTCTTTTATTCTATCGCATTACACATTTGACTTATTTCTCCAAACTGGTAAGTTGTATGTGCCTTTGTAGTCCAGCAATCCAAGTCTCAGACATCAAAGGTGCTGTGTTGTTTGCAATGAAAAAGCAGAGCTATAGGTAAAAGTAGATTTGTACAGCACAAATTACTTCTGTTTGTGGAACCAAATGCTAGGAATTTTAAAATAAGGATTGACTTGTGAGCAAAAGTTAGTAATCCAGATAGTGGGAGGTGAAGTTCAGAAGGTTGTAGTTTGCTACACATGTAGCATTCAAAATTAGAAATCTATTGTAGGTGAAGAGCTTAAAGGGAAAAAATTATAGTTCTATTGCTGTTTGAATTTTCATTAATAGCCTGATTCTTGATTCTGTTACTGGTTCTTTATGGTCAGGGTTTTTTAAACCAAGGGGATTAACACTGTTGTGTTCCTGGATCCAGGCTGGGATGTCAAGTATGCTGGAATTTGTCTTTCAATGTCTCTTTTTAACTTGTTGCAGATACTTCAGCAGTTCCTACGTTTAAGACAGAGCCTTCTCCCTCACTACCTTCTGCTGGTTCTCTGCCCATCATGGTGTCCACCACTGCTTCGCTTCTGCCTTCAGCATCACAGCATGCAGCAACGTTGTGCAGTTTGCCTCAGTCCAGTGATCTGACCAGCAGCTCACTCTCCCAGTTAAGCAGGTACAGTAGGAGTTGTGATAAACTGAAAGGGGTTCAGTTGTGGGGAAAGGACAGATGTAAGGGTGATTGCATATGGGGCTATCAGGCACAAGGGTCTCCTTTTCTGACATTAACTAGAATTAGGAGAGAGATTCGGAAGAGACCAGGATTTTTCTGGTTGCAAGGTATGAGCTCTGGGCTGCCTCTTTATGCTGCCCTCAAGTTTTCATGGTATATAAACAACTTTGTGTTTCAAGGGGCTCTTGCTTCAATAATGTCAGCTAAATTTAGTTTGTTTTTCCTACTTTGCCTGCAGTGCCTACTCTTTGTTTACTGTCGTATGTTTGAAATCATTCCCTAACAATTTACTTCCTGACTAATTTTGAAGTATTGTATTTTCATTTATATTTGCATTTCTTAAAATTAAAAAATAGAAATAATTTCATAGGCCAAAGTGTGTGTCTTTTTCTAAGATATTTCCTTAAGACATTTTGAAATATCAGATTGGTGTTCCTGGAAGTGCATTTAGCACATTTTAGCTCATTAGCACTGTCTGATTTTTCAGTGCCTGTTACTTGAGCTTTGTCCTTGGGCAGGTGACATCCTGAGGCTGTACTGGTTATGTTTTAATACTTACCTTTATACTGTATTTGTTAATATATGAAACTTATTTTATGGACTATCACAGTGTTTTCTGTGTTTCACAGCTAGGACATGGTCTCTTAATACACTAGTGTTTTCTGTTGAATACAATGGGAAATGTGTCAAATAACAAGAATTAATCCATTCACATTGAAAACATCTTCTCCTGACATTTGTTTGTTGAAAAGCTGTGTACATTGTTAGAAATTTTAGTTGGAGGATCGATGCTGTTGGACAGATAGAAATAGTTGTCTCTATATTTTGTTTTTTTCATTAAATGGTAGTAGGATATTAGTTAATGAAAAATATCTGTAGGGGTGTGTGAATATATACACACACATATCTATGTTCATATATACACACACTCCTACAATTTTTTCTTTAATATTCTACTATGTGTGTATTTGTATACACATACCTACAATTTTTATTCTTTAATATTCTGCTACCTACTCCATGTTTGTATATATATGTGTGTGTATATACATAGACATATATTTAAAATGTTTTAGGAAAAATTAATTTTATTAACTCTTAGCAAATTCTTTCTAGCTCCCTTTCAAATCATCAGAGTAGCCTCTCCCCTGCCTCAGTGTTGTCTTCAAGCACATCACATGTGGTAAGTCCTATTTGCATTTCGACAGATGTTTGGCATATAGTCAGTTTATCTGATGATTAAGACCCTCTCTTAGTTCAGTGTTTCCCAGTATGCTAAGAACTGAAACGAGCTTTATCTCGGGGAAGGAGGACTGCCAGCTCTCTAGTGGTAAAAAAGTCTTTACCACTTGTGATTTGTACTAGATCAGGAATAGCTATTACAGAGACTTGCCAGTCGCACAACTGTAGAGAAATTTTTTGTGCCGGCAAGGGGGAATGGAATAAAGAAAAAATTTCTTATAACAAATGTGTTTAAGAAAACAAATAAAACTTTAGAAGTGGTTGCCTGAAACTGCTCTAAAATGTGGACTGTTAGCAGTCTCCACTGGAGAGGTTAGCTGGCAAAATGCAGGTGATGGCATGACGCATGTCATGACAAATGCCTCAGGACAGATGATTTTAGAGTTTTTCATGCGACATTGTTGTCACCTGTGATTTTAAGGCATTAGAGATAACTAGACAAATGGTAGTGAGCACAGTGCTGTAGATGAAGTTGCACAAATGAAAGTCAGAGACACGCTGCTTTGTTCTGTCTGTACAATCCCAATTGGGGTGTGCAGATAGATTACTACTTTTCTTTATTCTTGAATTTTGGTAATGCTCCATCCCTGCTGTATATGTAACTTTAAAAATCACCCTTATCCAAATGTCCTTCTTTTCTGTTTTTAGAGTTCTTTTTGGCTTCTGTGTGTTGAGGACACTGTTTTGCAGATGTGATCAGCTTACAGCTAAGGCACTGTATTGTGGTGGATTCAAATCAGGAACTCCTTTATCCTCATGTGTTCCTGTAATACATCTGGTCTGCGTTTCAGTTTACCACATTGACTCTGTTGTGGGGCACTGCAGTTTAAATCTTTTAAATTCCACAAATGCATTGAGGAAATCACAATAGCAGGTCCTGTATTTTGAAAACAAATGCTGTCTTTTGGAAGAATGTAGGAGTTTATTTAACAAAACAAATACTAGCTTAAAGGAGTATACAAGCCAAAAGGACAAGAAATAATGAAATGGAGTGACATTTGAGTTACTGTGGTATAATTTTGTAATAATACAACTGTTTGAATTTAACTTTTATGTAATAATTTTCTTTGAATACTTTAAAATCACAATTATGCAACTTATTTGCTCTCCTTGTACATAGATAATGCATTATTTTTTACATGTGCTGCTGTTACTTAAAAGATTGTTGGTTTTGATTTTTAGTTTTGTTCCCTCCCCCCAGCATCTTTCACTGTGCCTCATTTGCTGTGTGATCCTCATTCTTTTTGTCTCTTTTCTAGCACACTAGTGTTGAGAACACAACTTTGCTCCAGCCTTCAGCAACCTTTTCAACTACTTCAACCTCAGCCACTAGCACCACCTCCTCGGTTGTCAGCATGGCAAGCAGTATGAACACTACAAACAGCCTTGGCCTGAGTGTTACCAGTGTGTCTGCTACCACACGAGCAGCTCCCTTAGTGTCTTCAGGTTTGCAATATTAACAGATGATGTGGATAGACAGAGGACTTCAGTCAGCAGGGCTGTCAGTTGAGCATCTTGTGAACCATAGCTATGCTAAGAAATCCTCTCTTGACTAGCATTTTCAGCATGCTTTTTTTTACTGGGTTATAAAATAAGATTGCTTGGGTTTGTGTATTTGAAATATTTTTTAGGATATTATGTGACATTTGTGTAGCATATTCCATCCCCAAAGAGCTTTATAAATAGAAACCAGAGCAGTTCTGACTTCGGAAGTTTTGGACTAGGAGATTCACCCTTTTTGTATTCCAGCTCTTGGCGGTGAATTCACATTAGCTTTAATTTCAGTCTTCTCTGTGACTTGAATTCATTTGGCAGTATCAAAATATACTGCAGTGTCCTTATTATGATATGCCACATCCCTACTGCCATATCTAGAGAAAGGAAAAAGGTGTGATGTCTGTGTCATTCCACAGAAAATAGCACTTCAGAAAAAGGAACCACAGAGAAGGTTGGGAGGCTTCCTACATTGAAGTGAAAGCAATGCTAAATTCTTTTTCTTCTCTAATCAGCTTGAACTGCTAAAAGGAAATCCTATGGAGGGAAGCAAATGATTTAAATATTAAGATGACACTTACTGAAGAATTTCTCATTTCCATAGCTTGTAAATAAAGTGTCTGATGACTGGTCAAAGTGCTTTTTTTTTTAATCTTCTGCTTCCTAGCACTCCTTCACGTAGGCAACTGAAACCATTTCAATCTCCTCTTTGCTATTCCCAGCTGCAGTAAGTCACCCACAAAAAGTATGCTGGCAACATTTAGTGCTTTCCAGTCTATTGCAGTGTTGACAGAATAGAAAATGAAAGGAGATAATTTGTTCTTAGACTGAGAACACTGCCTGAATTTTGCCTTCATGATATGACCAAGGAAAGGAGAAGTTCCTGTAATTCTTGTAATTCTCTTGGACAGAGTAAATAACAAAATCAGATTGTTTTCTGATGGGACTGTTTTCAGTCTTAAGTAGCCTGTGTTTTCCCTTCCTTGAGGCATGGGTAAACTCCCCAGGCTATTTTGAGTGTTTTCATCAATCAGCACAAAATTCTTCTGCATAGTTCTGCTCTTTACAAGCTAAGACAGTGCAGCTGCCAGGACTCATGAGCTATCTTGTCTCAATACTGAAGCCTTTTCTTTTCTAAAGACTTAATAAAGTGTCTGTATTTTGATTCTACAGGCAAAACTCCCCCAAATCTGCCTCAAGGTGTACCACCTTTATTGCATAACCAGTATATTGTGGGACCTGGAGGACTTCTACCTGCCTACCCAGTAAGCAATTTAATTGTTTGTCCTTGATTGCTTAAGCCGTGGTGCAAGTGGGCCCTCCAGGCCTCCTGTTGTCTATGCCAAGGCATTTCTGTTGGCACATGTTGTACCTGGAATTCTTGTTCCAAACACTGAAGAATGTGAAATGTATTCAGTGAGGGTTTACTGTTGGTACAGACCTGATCTGGCTCCTCTTGAAGATAAACATGCATGTTGCTATGGTTTTCAACCTTATCAGGTTTTAGGCCCTTTGAATAAAATTAAACCCATTTAGGTTTGTGTTACTGGAATAGATAGTATTACATAGTGTTATGGTTTAGTTACATGAAGATTTTCTTGTTTAATTTTTCATATCATCACATGGTTTTGGAGAGCGCAAGAGGACACCTCCCCTCTCTTCCCCTATGAACCGGTGGGGGTACGGAGGGATGAAAGGTCCTGACAGGAAATATGGCCAGAACTTAGGATAAACTTGCTAGCAGGACCAGAACACGCTCACTCAGGTTCCAGAGGGCAAAAGTGCAGTCGAGATCCTCTCTGTCTCTCATTGTGGTTCTGGTCTCTGGTCAGTTTTCCCACCTCACTGCTACTGTTGCTGCTCGGCTGGGCTGCACTTCGAGCCACGCTGCCTGTGCCGCAGCAGCCATCCCTGCAACCTCCCCTCTGCTTGAAGTCGGGGCAATCATCCCTGCCACCCAGAACTGTGCCACAGCAACCATCCCTGGTGCCTCCCCGCTGCTCGAAGCCACTGCAACCATCCCTGCTGCTGCTGCTGCTGCCGTTACTGCCCTGGAGTAGCGCCGCTTGCCCACTATCACCACCACTTCGCACTCCCTGCCTCTGCTGACCACTGCTGCTACTGCTGCTGCCCCTACTGACTTGGAGTAGCACCACTGGCACCACTCTGCACACCAGTTTTTTCCCCCCCCAGGTCTGAACATGACCTCCATCAGGACTGAATTGCCATCTCAGTGGCATACACTGAAAGAGTGGTTGTAGGTGACATTCTTTTCTGTTATTGTTTTTTTCTTTTGTTCTGTTTTGTTCTCTATTTTTAGTAAAACTGTTATTAATTTTCATACTTCACTTGAATGTTTTGTAATTTTAAAAAAAAATTGTCATTTTGGAGGGGGGGTGTTTTTATTTCATCAGAGGTCCCGCCTCCTGAGACATATCAGTAAAGCAAGACAACGTGAGACAATGTGTGAAAAAGTGGAAAAAGAATAACGGTTTTGAATAATCCATTTGTGTATTGGATATAGAACCCCTCAGGCATCATTTTATTTGATTTATTCCTGTTTATTTGGCATGTATTCCTGCATATGTATTTCCCATTCATAGGTGTTTATCTCAAAATGGATTCTAAACCCAAGATTGCTGTGGCTATTTTTAAGTTTGTAACTTGGATTCATGGGGTTGTAAATTCAATGCCTATAAGTCTCCTTCAGAATGTATTTTCAGGATTGTTTTCCTACCCAACCTAAGCTGTTATCCCTGGAGGCTTAGTGATAATGGCACCCAATCTGGAGGAGGAATGCAGGGGAATGTTTTCTCCCAATTCTTCACCCATTTCTCCTTCAGGTCTGCCACAACAGTTTTTGAAGAGTTTAAATTCTCTCTAGATGTTAGAGATACCTTACTCTTTGTATCTTTGACAGTTTTCATTATGATGCTTCTTCTTATTTAAGAAGGTAGGACCAAGATCTATCAGGAATGTGCCCAGAAGCCCACCCCAGGAGTGGATAGTTTTGAGTGGCATGGGCTATGGGAGGACATGGGTAAGTTCTTGGAGAATGTTTCTGCTCCAATGACCTGGAAGTTCACCCTTGAACAACTGCAGGACCCTATCAAGGTGATGAGATCAGTGAGGGAAAAGTGCCACGGTAGATCTATGGAGGGGCAGCTTGTGGTTGCATGTGGAGCCCTCGCCACTGCCTACCGAAAGCTGCTCAGCATGGTGCAGCACCTCCCGGAGGAAAAGAATGGGAACAAAACACCTGACACCATGGCAACTCAGAGTCTAACAAAACCAGAGGGACAACCCCAGCCAATAG